CATCACAATTAAAATAACTAGAGAAGCAAGAGCAAGCACATTCAAAAGCCAGCAGAAGGCAAGAAATAACTAAGATCAGAGCAGAACTGAAGGAGATAGAGACACAAAAACCCTTCAAAAAATCATGATTCCAGGAGCTGGTTTTTTGAAAAGATCAACAAAATAGATAGACCACTAGCAAGACTAATAAAGAAGAAAAGAGAGAAGAATCAAATAGATACAATAAAAAATGATAAAGGGGATATCACCATCAATCCCACAGAAATACAAACTACCATCAGAGAATACTGTAAACACCTCTATGCAAATAAAGTAGAAAATCTAGAAGAAACGGAAAAATTCCTGGACACATACACCCTCCCAAGACCAAACCAGGAAGAAGTTGAATCCCTGAAGGGGTCAATAACAGGCTCTGAAATTGAGGCAATAATTAAGAGCCTACCAACCAAAAAAAGTCCAGGACCAGATGGATTCACAGTCAAATTCTACCAGAGGTACAAATAGGAGCTGGTTCCATTCCTTCTGAAACTATTCCAATCAATAGAAAAAGAGGGAATCCTCCCTAACTCATATTATGAGGCCAGCATCATCCTGATACCAAAGCCTGGCAGGGATACAATAAAAAAAGAGAATTTTAGACCTATATCCCTGATGAACATTGATGCAAAAATCCTCAGTAAAATACTGGCAAACCGAATCCAGCAGCACATCAAAAAAGCTTATCCACCACAATCACATCAGCTTCATCCCTGGGATGCAAGGCTGGTTCAACATATGCAAATCAATAAACATAATCCATCATATAAACAGAACCAAAGACAAAAACCACATGATTCTCTTAATAGATGCAGAAAAGGCCTTTGACAAAATTCAGCAGCCCTTCATGCTAAAAACTCTCAATAAACTAGATATTGATGGGACGTATCTCAAAATAATAAAAGCTATTTATGACAAACTTACAGCCAATATCATACTGAATGGGCAAAAACTGGAAACATTCCCTTTGAAAACTGGCATAAGGCAGGGATGCCCTCTCTCACCACTCCTATTCAACATAGTATTGGAAATTCTGGCCAGGGCAATCAGGCAAAAGAAAGAAATAAGGTGTATTCAGATAGGAAGAGAGGAAGTCAAATTATCTCTGTTTGCAGACAACATGATTATATATTTAGAAAATCCCATCATCTCAGCCCCAAATCTCCATAAGCTGATAAGCAACTTTGCCAAAGTCTCAGGATACAAAATCAATGTGAAAAAATCACAAGCGTTCCTATACAACAATGACAGACAAACAGAGAGCCAAATTATCAGTGAACTCCCATTCACAATTGCTACTAAGAGAATAAAATACCTAGGAATAAAACTTACAAGGGATGTGCAGGAACTCTTCAAGGAGAACTACAAACCACTGCTCAAGGAAATAAGAGAGGACACAAACAAATGGAAAAACATTCTATGCTCATGAATTGGAAGAATCAATATCATGAAAATGGCCATACTGTCCAAAGTAATTTATAGATTCAATGCTATACCCATCAAGCTACCAATGACTTTCTTCACAGAATTGTAAAAAACTACTTTAAACTTCATATGGAACCACAAAAGAGCCCACATAGCCAAGACAATCCTGGGCAAGAAGAACAAAACTGGAGGCATCAGGCTACCTGACTTCAAACTATACTGCAAGGCTACAGTAACCAAAACAGCATGGTACTGGTACCAAAACAGAGATATACACCAATGGAACAGAACAAAGGCTTCAGAAATAACATCACATATCTACAACCATCTGATCTTTGACAAACCTTACACAAACAAGCAATGGGGAAAAGATTCCCTATTTAATAAATGTTGTTGGGAAAATTGGCTAGCCATATGCAGAAAACTGAAACTGGACTCCTTCCTTACAGCTTATACAAAAATCAACTCAAGATGAATCAAAGACTCCCTCCTAGGACCATAAAAATCCTAGAAGAAATCCTGGGTGATACCATTCAGGACATAGGTATTGGGCAAAGACTTCATGACTAAAACACCAAAAGCAATCACAACAAAAGCCAAAATTGACAAATGGGATCTAATTAAACTAAAGAGCTTCTTCACAACAAAAGAAGCTCTCATCAGAGTGAACAGGCAACTTACAGAATGGGAGAAAATTTTTGCAATCTATCCATCTGACAAAGGGCTAATATCCAGAATCTACAAAGAACTTAAACAAATTTACAAGACAAAAAAACAACGCCATCAAAAAGTGGGCAAAGGATATGAACAGACACTTTTCAAAAGAAGACATTTATGCAGCCAACAGACACATGAAAGAAAGTTCATCATCACTGGTCATTAGGGAAATGCAAATCAAAACCACGAGATACCATCTCATGCCAATTAGAATGGCAACCATTAAAAAGTCAGGAAACAACAGATCCTGGAGAGGATGTGGAGAAATAGGAATGCTTTTACACTGTTGGTGGGAGTGTAAAGTAGTTCAACCATTGTGGGAGACAGTGTGGTGATTCCTCAAGGTTCTAGAACTAGAAATACCATTTGATGCAGCAATCTCATTATTGGGTATATACCCAAAGGATTATAAATCATTCTACTATAAAGATACATGCACACATATGTTTATTATGGCACCATTCACAATAGCAAAGACTTGGAACCAACCCAGTGTCCATCAATGATAGACTGGATAAAGAAAGTGTGGCACATATACACCATGGAATACTATGCAGCCATAAAAAAGGATAAGTTCATGTCCTTTGCAGGGACACGTAAGAAGCTGGAAACCATCATTCTTAGCAAACTATCACAAAAACAGAAAACCAAACACCACCATGTTCTCACTCATAAGCGGGAGTTGAACAATGAGGATACATGGACATAGGGAGGGGAACATCACACACCAGGGCCTGTCGGGGGATGGGGAGGTTGGAGAGGGATAGCACTAAGAGAAATACCTCATGTAGTTGACGGATTAACGGGTGTAGTAAACCACTGTGGCATGTGTATACCTATGTAACAAAACTGCACGTTCTGCCCATGCACCCCAGAACTTAAAGATAATTTTTAAAAAATAGGAAAAAAAAAGAAACACAGAACAATCACAATTGATAGGAAATATGAATTTTGAAGACTTGGAAGTTATAAAATTGATGATCAAGATAAAAGTCTATTAGGTGTGATGGAAAATTTTAATGACAAACTTATAAGACAAACTGGTTAAAAGGGGGCAGAAACAGAGTTGACCAACAGACTGAGCCATAACTGTTTCTGTGTTTCCTTTTATCTTGGCTCTGGCTTTCTGACACTCCACAAAACAAGGTAAATGACTTATGACTGCTAAACAGACTAACCCAGGCTCAGAAATAACCAATATTATTTGTAAATGATGATCACATATGTGCTCATGCATCCAGAGTTGTAGTTGACATTTTATGAAATGACACAAAAGATTCTGTGCATCTTCAGTTTTCCAGATTTAATTAGTGTCTTTTGAGAACAGAGGACTGTAATAGTGGAGAGATATCAGGAAGGTCATTCCCCTTGCCCTTGGGGAGCTTTAAGCATGTATAGTTAGGAGGAATCATTTATATCCATGCACAATTAAATAGGTCTGTTGCAGAGCAACCTGTGAACAAATGCGGGTCAAAATACCAGTATGTGTATCCATGTCGAAGTGATGCTGATAAAAAGGAATAAAAAGAATCAGGTAGAAGGCTTCCAAAACAGTGTCAGTAAAAATGATGAACTTCATTTCATGGGGAGGAAAGGGTAAAATATTCTAGCATGTGCAAAGTTATGGAAGTAGAAGCAAATACTTCATCACAGTGTACCTCATCACAGTGGAAGAGTACGTTTATTATTATAATAATATTATCAATTATTATTATATATAATATATATACCTAGTATTAAATATTATTATAAAATATTATTATTATAAATGTTATTAGTATTCCTATTTGAGAATGGGAGATGGCTGAACATGTAAATTAACCTGCCCCAAGTCATATAGTGAATTACCTGTGCAGCTAAAATAAGTGATATTTTAGGAACAGTTTACATCATGAAACACTGAAGCTGTATATTTTTTCAATAAATGATGGTACGCCAGGTAGTTCTTAGACAACAATGAGTAGAAACTAAACTATATTTTTAAAAGGTTTACTTAATAAATATTGCAAAAGATAGGGCAAAGAGCTTTCTTACTCCCCTAGTGAAGAAAACCAGGGCATTTTTTTAAAGGACGAAGAATCATTAACAGTATTTCCTGAAGGAGAATAAAGTCTTCCAGCCTGCATCAGAATTCCATGTTACTATCCGAATTCTAAGATTAAGGGTGTGTTTTACCCACACCCTAGATTTTTGGGAACACAGGCTTGGCATTATGTAAGTTCCGCCGAGGAGGATAATGTGACTCTTCTTGTTATGGGAGAGACCTCATTCTGATCCTATATATATGATTCTATCTATCTATATAGGATTTTAGATATATATATATTTCTTTTGTAAATGCACTTTATCCTTTAGCAAAACTGACAGATCTTCAGATTAGCACACATCTATTTATCTCTACTGTCAGCTCCTGTAAATGGTAGCATTTACCCAAGACAGAAAAATCTCTTGGAATAACCAGTATACTTGTTTCAATAATCTGCAGAGCCATCAATGAGAATGCTTCAGAACAGAAGAGCAGCTGGTTTCAAATACTATTTCATTTTCCTCCCAGCCCACTACTAGAGCCTAGTACACTACTGTATAGTGTGGGCCTTTGTGGAGGCTTCTATTTCCCACCTGTATTTCTTTTTCTTTTTCCAGCAACAGTCTGCCTTTGTGCCAACTCCTAAATAACCATAAATTTTGTTCTTATAAACCTTAATGAATGCTTGGCCAAGATGCTGTAACTATTGGCTTCTATATTGGAGCATAAATGGAAAGGGGGGAAAAAAGTGCACTGTGAAAAACTGGATAAAATGGAAAAAAGATCACAGCAAACCCAAAGTCGCAATTTGCCTTTAATGTGAAGGAGGCCTTGTTTTCACGGTGTGGCAGCTTTCAGGGGTTTTAATCTCAAAGTGGCTGATCAATTTAAGGTAAGTGGCAGGCATTTGGCCTGGTTCCCAGGCTTTGCTTTGCTGCTCTGAGAAAAGAAAGGATTCAGTCAGACACACAGACAACAGGCATCATCAGCGGCTCCCACATTCCAAGCATTTTAACACAGATTAGGTTGGCATGATTCTACTGTTTACTGAAATCTCCTAGGTGTTGCATTTTTCCTTTTCCTTGCTGTGGTTATCCAAGATGGTTTTCTTAGGTCAAGACCTTCATATGCCAAATAGCTTACAGTGCTGTGAAGGGAAAAGAAGAGCAGAGGTCAAGACTTCTGATTAAAATGCTATTTCACTTGCTTGCTGCAAAATATGAGACTTCAGACAGCAGGTAATTGAGCACTGAACTTTTTGCCTAAGGCATACATTGAGACAGGAACTGTTTTACATGCATGCCTGAGGGGGAAGAAAAACGAAGATAATTTCTTTAACAAGGACAAACTTAATTCAACTAGGAATGCCCAAAGGATTAACAGGGTGATCTGTAGTTATTTTTGCTTCAGATTTTATAAGCATGAGGCTTACAGATAATGTTGAACAAGATTACAACCAATATAGTCCATTTTTCAATTAATATTTTTCACCATATACTCTTTACTTTTTCAAAGAGTAATATTAAATGAGTTCAACAGACCCCTTACTACCGTCTCATGTTCTTAGCAAAAGTTAATGTTTTAATCCATTTGACCTATAACATAGGTTAAATAAAATATGCATTCCATCGATTAAGCCAAAAAACAAATAAATTGTCTCTCATATATTTTGGCTATATCATACTGTATAGAAAATTTGTATTTTAAAATACATTTTCACAGTTTTTAAAGATACATTGCCTTACTTTAATATAATCAAGAACACCTTCCCATTAGTCATCTTCATGGCAGATCTCATGTTTTATTTCTCTCTAAGAATTTTATCAAAATAAGAAACTACTATAGATTTTTAAAAATAGTTTTTCTAGCTATTATACTTTTCAAAAGCAATGTTGAATTATTATACTTACTATACCTAGAAATGCCTTCCTAACATTTCACACATTTACATTGACTTATTTCTTCCAAAACTAACACATTGTTGCACTTGAGTAACTTATATTAAGAATAAGTATTCTTGTTTGTAAGGGTTAGCTTAGAAACTAATGCAATTATAACCAGTTATCTTAACTTTAGTTGTTATATATGCAAGTGTGGCTTTTAAAAAATAATATATGACTTTTCACTGATTAAAGAAAAAAAAAATAGAGTCAGAAAAGAAGCAGCTAGCAACCATCCTTCTGCTGTTGCCGCATATGTCTTATCACTATGTGGTACTTGTCAACATGTGATACTTGGAACTGCAGCAGCCGTCTTGCAAACATGGAGAGAGCCAGCTTAAGGGGCCTAGCTGAAGTGCTGAGGATGGCAGACAAGAAAGATGGAAAAAATATGATTTTCAATTATGTCATTGAGCCATTGAACCAACAATCCTGGGTCCACTCAACTTGAGATTTCTTCTTGTGTAAGATAATAGATTCCCTTTCATTCATGTAATCATATTCGTTGAGCATCTACCATGTCCCATACCCTATGCTAGGGGTCTGAAGTAGCTCAGTGAACAAAACACAAGATCCCTACCCTTGTGGAACTCACATTCTAGCCAAGAGAGATAATAAACTAAAAACATAAATAAGAAAATTCTATAATATGTTAGGAAATAGTAAGCAGAAAAAAATTCATAAGAGGAACATGGCAAAAAGGATCAGGAATGTGGGATCAAAAGGACAGGTTTTGATGTTGAATAAAGTGAGAATTGGTTGGCTTCACTGAAGAAGTGAGATTTGAACAAACACTTGAAGGAAATGAAGGACTTATTTCTTAAGCCAGTAGGAGATAGGTTGTATTTTTCTCATTGTTGACAATCCTCTAAGTGAGAGGGAGATATGGGAAGAGAGAGAGAGAGAAAGAGAGAGATTTGGGATAGTGTCTGATTCCAGCTCCTCTTTGATTCTTCTTAGTTCCAGTCAACCAAATGATTTTTTTCCTTTGCTTGAGTTTCAGCTGGGTTTCTGTCACTTAAAGAAGATTAGTAAGTTTTCTGTTGGTCACAAATAAACTATCTCTGGTTCCAGGAACAGCAAGCTCAAATAGATACTGAGCTAGGGCGGGCGGTGGTCAAGCTGTATCCAGCACTTTGGAGCGAGGCGGGATCACAATCAGAACGAACACAGTAAACCCTCTACTAAAAAAAAAAATTAGCCAGGCGGTGGGGGCCTGTATCCTACTATCAGGAGCTGAGGCAGAGAATGGCGTGAACCAGAGGGAGCTGAGTGACCGAGATCACCACTGCACCAGCCTGGCAACAGCGTGAACTTGCTCAAAAAAAAAAAAAAAATAGATACTGAGCCATAATTCCATTCTGTATATAAAGAGCTTTATTGCCCACACTGGGGGGTATCCAGGCATCCATAAAAGCATGGCCTGTGAGGTTTTCAGCTTCCCAACTGGAGTGGGAAGATGCTCAGGACTGGGGTGGAGCTAAAAAGAGAAGCTCTGTTTTGGGACTGGTAGTAAAAATTGATGACCATATTCTAAAAGGGTAAGTCTGCAGGAAGAAAGATAAAATAAATAACAGAGAAAAAGAGGTGAACAACTAAAAAATGTATACTGTACCTAGGAGATAGAAACAGAGAACACTAGCTAGAAGCAACATCTCCCATTTATTACAGAGATATTGATGCATTTATTCTACTATGTTTGCTATGGGCAAAGTTCTAAGATATGCTATTCACATATACACAAAGGTCATAATACATTGTCATTTTGTCACTGGCTCCTCAATGCAGAAAGATGATGTTTGTTTATCTGAGTTGCTTACATACCCTCATGTAGCACCTAAATATCCTAAAAATAGGAATTCGGCAAAACAAAGCATGGAATATACTTATGCTTCCAATTTCCAATTTCTAGCTAAAAGACAATGCCAGCTCTATATCACAGTTTATGTTGGGCAATCTTTTTGTGCATCTGTTTCCTTGTTTGTAAAATGGGTTCAATGAGAATACCTACCTCATAAGACTCTCACAGGGTTATTGTGATTAAATGACATAATGCATGTAACCACAGTGCTATGATTTGGTCACTGTTCCATAAAAATTGGCCATATACCTTTACTATATCTATTTGTATTTGGTTCTTTTTGGGAGGCATACTACGCAAGTTTATTTCAAAACATTGCTGTCAGATAAGAGATTTGTGGATTCTGTGTGATTATGGATATTAACTGGAGAATCTTTGTGTGTTGTTATATATTTGGGAGCGTCTTAGTCCATTCAGACTGTTGTAAAAAATACCTTAGACTGGGTGCTCAAAAATATCAATAAATAAATTGCAATGCAGTGAGAGATTTTTTTTAATATGATGACAGTGCAAAATTTCAATAGGGTCAGAGAAAACTGGATGCTCATATTGGACGCTGACTTAAGACTTACAAATAATAGGCATTTATTTCTCACAGTCCCAGAGGTTGGGAAGTCCAAGATCAAGGCACCAGCAGATTCAGTGTCCGGTGAGGAATCTTTGCTTTATAGATAACACCTTGTTGCTTCATCTTCACATGGCAGTAGGGCCAAGGCAGCTCCCTTCAACCTCTTTTATAAGAGGTACTAATCCCATTCATGAAGACAGAGCCCTCATAACTTTATTCACAAAAGACTCCCACTTCTTAATACTATCACACTGGTGCTAGGTTCCAACGTATGAACTTAAGGGAGATGCCAACATTCAGACCATAACAGGGAGGATGGGACAGTGTGTGTGTGTGTGTGTGTGTGTGTGCGCGCGCACATGTATATATATGCATGCTAGTGCATATTCACTTCTTGACTTCTCATGGTATTATTATGTTCTCAATTATCTTGCTTCCCTCCTCATCTTTCTTCCATGTCCAATTTGTCATTGACTCCAAGAGAGGTAGTTGACGTATATTTAAAAATCAAAGCTGGCCTTGGAATGAGAACCCCACGTTAAATCTGTTATTAGTTCTGTGACACTAAGCAAATCACTTAGTCTCTCAGAGCCTCAGTTTGTCACCTCCAAATCAATGAGAAAACCACACAGGCTCCTAGCATGACACCTAACCCATGGTAGGTACTCAAGATACTTTATTGAGCCTGCATCTTCTTTCATGATGTCTCTGAAATCTATGCCTTTCTTTTGTTCCTTTTGCCACCCTGGAGAAGGCCTTCATCCCCTCTCATCCAAGGCTCAGCCTCCAATCTGAGCATCTAGTTTTCTCTGACCCAATTGAAGTCATGCACTGTCATCAGATTAAAAAATAATCTCTCACTGCATCGCAATTTATTTGTTGGTATTTTTGGAGCAAACCACCAAAAATATCAAACTCTGATATTTTCCTTTCATACTTTTAGGTACATGTGTTGTCAATATTGCCATTCTCTAGGCCTAAGAAGACCCTTACTTGCTTAACTATTCCTAAATATTCTTTGTTAACTCACTCTCTCTGTGCTGTGTGACAACTCTCTCTTCTGAAGACTATATACTACTCTAAGCCCTGAAGATACTAAGATAAATAAGTCCGAAAAATCTTGGCTCTACCACTCACCTGCAATAATATTAATAAAAACCACTATGTATTGTGCCCTTACATGGAAATATGCTAAGATTTTTATGTGTTATCTCATATAATCCTCACAACAATCCTATAAAGTATTCTTATTATTATCTTAAGAGAAAACTGTAGCTTGGGAATATTAAATCCATTTCCCATTATATAGATAAAAAGTGGTAGAGCACTTTGAATCCAGATCAAAGCCTAAACTCTTAAGCTCTCAGCTACTCTGCCTGTGTTATATTCTTGGAGAAATAATATAAATGACTGTACCATCAGATTGATTACAAAAGAGTTAACTACAACTTGCAAGTGGCATTAACTACTTACAACTACTTACAAATTACCTACTTATACATTCCTCAGAAATTTTTGCAACTAATTGTATATATCTTAGTCAATGTCTCCTAGCTTCAACTATAAAATATCAATGATATCACCTAGTTTATGGAATTGATAGCATATTACTTGAATTAGTGCCTTAATGTAGTTAAATGGCTAGTATAACTTCTCATATAGACACCCAACATATATTAGTTCCCTTCATGTCCTACGCTCCTTCTAATCAATTTAAATATTTGCTGCAACATTTGGATTTTCATTTAATGCTCTCCATGGATAACCTCCCCATTGTCATTGATTAAAAAGCTAAAAGAACAGAGCAGGTCTTGTGAAAAAAAATATTAAAAGTGCTCATTCTACAGCTGACTCAAGTGAGGCTTGATGGTTTTCATCAAGTAACTGAAGGATTTTAGTAACTGAAGTCACTGATAATTTGTTCTCCGTGTACTCAAAAGAGTGAAAAAGAAGAACAAAATAAGATAAATGTAATTCTAGGATATTTTGATGAGACACTAAGAATAATTTATTGATGCCAAAAAAGAAAAAAAAAATGTTGGAATAAGACAGAAAAAAAATGTCTCAGAAGATCTTTGAAAGTTAAGCGATGGCCTAGGTAATTTATAAACACACCCATCTAAAGCAACAAACTGAGCCAAGTAATTGATCAACATTTCCTCTAATTCTTTTGGTCTAGAGATTTCTTTTTTCTTGATCCAAGCTAAGGAAAAATATGTCTCTGTGTATTGTGGTATGTTTCTACTGTCAAAGGAGCCCAATTGTGGTCCTTGTGTTTATGAGATTATTAGGTTACTTTCTAATTTCTCCTAACTATAATTATACCTTTCATCAACCCAGACTACCTGTAAAACTTTTGAATAGAACAGAATGAAATGTTAAGAACCATCACTTGTCCCCTCTATTTGACTCTCTCGAGGTTAATGTTGAGTGAAAATATTATGTGTATGTGTACACACACATAAAAATATACAGATATACAGTTGTATACACACCCATCCAGATATACAGTTGGCCCTTGAACAATGCAGGGGTCGGAGTGCCAACCCCTCACACATGTATGTTTTGATTCTCCAAAAACTTAACTATTAATAGCCTACTGTAGTAGGCTAACAGTAGATTAACACATATTTGTATGCTATGTATATTATATACTGTATTATTACAATAAAATAAGCTAGAAAAAAGAAAATGTTATTAAGAAAATAATAAGGAAGATAAAATACATTTACAATACTATATTGTATTTATCAATATCATACATTTACATGGTCTGTTTATTGGATGAATCATCTGTCTGAAAGTCAACTTTTTCTTGTAATATCATGACGATTCTATGCTTCTTGGGAGCACTTCCAGCATCACTAGTGGCACTTCGTATGGGTCCCATAATGTTATTCAAGATTTACAGTATGGCACTAAGCATAATGGAAAATACGCAACAATCACAAGAGACCACTTTTTACTGCTATACGCAATTTACTGGAGAGACAAACTGCTCACACGGAGATGATTAGCATTACATAGCATTTTAGGCAGATAAAACCCTTGAGCTCACTACAATAGCAATGGGAGGTGGCTATAAAATTATTATGTTAGGCTGGGCGCGGTGGCTCATGCCTGTAATCCCAGCACTTTGGGAGGCGGAGGCGGGCGGATCACGAGGTGAGGAGATCCAGACCATCCTGGCTAACACGGCGAAACCCTGTCTCCACTAAAAATACAAAAAATTAGCCGGGCATGGTGGTGGGCGCCTGTAATCCCAGCTACTCGGGAGGCTGAGGCAGGAGAATGGCGTAAACCCGGGAGGCGGAGCTTGCAGCGAGCCGTGATCGCGCCACTGCACTCCAGCCTGGGCGACAGAGCGAGACTCTGTCTCAAAAAACAAGCAAACAAACAAACAAATTATTATGGTACTATAATATGTACTACAATTAGTTTTATGCAGTTATTGCTTAAAATTGCATCTTTACATTTGTTTACACTTCTCTCCACCACAAATGGCACCATTTTTGGTCTATAAGTGTGTATGTAAATCTTGATAAAAATTTAAATTTTTATGACACAGTTGTGCATATTTTGATAGTAAATGGTAAAATGGATTAATGTCTACACATATTATGTGCATTCATAACATATCTAACTTTTTCTTAATTCACGCAGTTCATCTGTTTTCTCAAATTATCGCAAATCTCCAAAGCATTTTCCAAAATATATTGAGAAAAATCTGCATAGCAAGTGAACCTGTGCAGTTCAAGCTTGTGTTGCTCAAGAGTCAACTGTATACACAAATATATATAATGATATAAAATTATTTTATTACCCGGTGAAGTAAGGTGACGTTATCCCCAGTTTACAGATGAGGAAACTGCCTAAGATAGATAAAGGATTGGCAAACATCTGCTTAAAGGGCCAAAGAGTAAATATTTTAGGATTTAGACTATGACCCAACCTCTGTTACAACTACTCAGCTCTGCCATTGTAGCATGGATGTAGCCATAGATGTCATAAATAAATTGGCATGTCAGTGTTCCAATAAAACTTTATTTACAAAAACAAGTGACTGACCCATGTGCCACATTTGTCAATCCCTTGGATAGATAACTAGATTTTTTAAAGTCCTGTTGATAAAGCAGTCATCAAGCTACAGTTTACTAAGAAAAACATTTATAATTAAAAAGGATTGTTGATTTTTAAAACATTTTGATGAACCATATTCATACATTTCCTAATATTAAGACATATTTGATTTCTATAATAAACTTTATTCTTACTTTTAATATATTTTCTGCACATAGAAGAGAAATGAAAGCCCAGAATATAAGATTCCAGCTCCAGGAGAAAAGGGAGTTACAGAGAGAAGTAAGCCCAACATTCTGCATGCAAATTTTCGTATGAAGCATTTCCTGATTTCTAAGATGAGCACATATGGGGCAAGATGGCAGAAACTAGACAGAAAGCAGCTGCTAAGAAGCTAAAAAGCTAAGCAGATATTTAGGCAATCTCATGGTACCAAGGAAACAAAAATTGGAATTCAGGAACCACCAAGTAAAAGAGGCACTAGCAAACACTTCAGGCTTTCAATTAGGGCCCTGAAAGGGATATACCCTAGGAGTAAGAATAATTCAAAAATAGAAAAGCCTTAACCAGATTAAAGTGTTCTGCATGTACTCTACCTGCCCTCCAGGAGAAAAAAACTAAATCTTCTCTGGAAAAGCTTACATCATTCAGAGACTCTATAATTTTCTCAATAAATTTCTTGTAATCAGTAAAAAATTACTAAGTATACTAGGAATTGGGGCCCAACAAACAAAAATAAAGAGAAAAAATAGACAATTAAAAACAGAACCGTAGGTGATACAAACATTGGAGTTATAAGACACTGGCTTTAAAATAACTGTGATATTTTGAAAAAACATTAATGAGAAGATTAAAAAAAAAAATCACCAGGGAATTAAAACCCATTTTTAAAGTATCAAACATTACATTTAAAATTTAAGAAAATACCACTTTTTCTGTTTCATTGTAGTATCAAAGAAGAAGATTCACCATTTTCTGAAAAAGACTACTAAAACATTTTCCTTTTTAATTACATATACCTGAGCCCAGATTTTCTTTATGTACTGCAATCAAAACAACATGTCACAATGGATTAAAGACAGAAGCAATAAAAGAATCCCACTGTTTTCCATTAAGCTGGGCATTTAAAACAATTTGTAAAAACAAGCCAGGCATGGTGGCACATGCCTGTAATCCCAGCTACTTGGGAGGCTGAGGCAGGAGAATTGCTTGAACCTGGGAAGTGGAGGTTGCAGTGAGCCGAGATTGTGCCACTGCACTGCAGCCTGGGCAACAAGAGAAAAACTCCATCTAAAAAAAAAAAAAAAAAAAAAAAAAAAAAAAAAAATTTGCAGAAACATAAAGCAAGGTTCTTTTTCTCACTTAATTTTTTTTTCTTTTAGAAAACATAGCTGTTTTCACTTTATTTATGTTTTCACTTATTTTAACATGTAATGGGTTTATTGTTATTTTTAAATGATTTAATAAGTATGTTTAAATTTTCTCAGTTTTCCATATCATTGTGGTAACAATTAATAGATATAACTCACATAAAAAAAAGCTCTTCAGAGTTCTCAATACTTTTTAAGATTGTAAAGGGGTCGCAAGACCGAAAGTTTTGATAACACTGATCTATAGATTCAAAACATTTACAATCAAGTTCTCAGCCTGTTTTTTGTTTATCTCTCTGTGTGTATGGAAATTGGCCAATTGTTTCTAAGCTTTATATGGAAATGCAAAGGATCAAGAATAGCCAAGAGAATTGTGAAGAAGATTAGCTTAGAGCTATCAAAGTTTATTTTAAAGCTACAGTAACCAAAAGAGTGATATTGGCACCAGGAAAAATAAACAGACCAAGAGGACAGAATTGAGTCCAGAAATAGTCCTTATATACAGTTACCTGATTTTCAACAACACTGTTACTGTGATGGAGTGGGAAAAGGATGACCTTTTAAATAAATTATGCTGGATTTATTGTTCCACATTCTCATCAGCATTTGGTATTAAAGTGTTTTGGATTTTAACCATTCTAATAGATGGGTGGTGTTACCTTGTTGTAATTTGAAATTCTCTAATGGCATATGATGTTGGATATCTGTTGATATGCCATTTGCCATCTGTATATCTTCTTTGGTGGGTGTTTGTTCAGGTCTTTTGCCCACTTTGTAATTGGGTTGTTTGTTTTCTTACTGTTGAGTTTTAAGAGTTCTTTGTATATTTTGGATAGAAGATCTTTATCATGTACGTATTTTACAAATATTTCCCCTCAGTCTGTGACTTGTTTTTTTATTCTTTTAAGTTAATGCTTTAAAGGAAATTGTAAGCAGTATCTTCTCTTATGTTATATTCTAGAACCTTTATTGATTTACCTTTCAATCCATCTGAAATTGATTTTTATATCTGATGTGAAGTAGGGATCAAGTTTTACATACACACATGTATACACACACAGACACACATATACACATATACATATATAGAACACACACACATACACACACACACACACACACACACACACACACATATCCATCCAGAACTCTTATTCATTGCTGGTAGGATTGTAAAATGGTACAGCCACTTTGGAAGACAAATAGAATTTTATGACAATGCTAAACCTTGTCTCACCTTATGATCCAGCAATCATACTCCTATGTATTTGCGCAAATGAGTTAAAAACTTATGTTCACACAAAAATTTGACATGAATGTTTGCAGGAACTTTATTAATAATTGCCTAAAATTGAATGCAACCAAGATGTCTTTCAATAGATAAATGGATTAACAAACTGTGGTACATCCCTACAATGTAATATTAATATTATTGAACGATAAGAAAAAATGATCCACACACAGATATAGAGGAACTTTAAATGCTTATTGCCAAGTGAAAGATGCCAGTCTAAAAGGCTAAATATGTATATCTCCAACAAATGTCATTTTGGAAAAGACAAAACTATGGAGATAGTAAAAAGATTAGTGGTTGCCAGGGTGTATAAATCAGGGCTTTCCAGACAAACAGAACCAACAGGATATTTATAAATATATAAGAAGAGATGGATTTTATGTTAACAACAATGTATTAATATCAGTTCATCAACTGTAACAAATGTATCACATCAATGCAAGACACAAATTAATAGGGAAACTGGAAGAGCAGGGAGTATATGGGAATCTCTGCTCTTTGGCTCAATTTTTCTGTAAAACTAAAATTGCTTTAAAAATAAAGTATATTAATTAAAATAAAATGTACTAGCCTAATAAAATTACTGATCATTTGGACTTATTAAAATTTAAATCTTCTATTCATCAAAAGACACCATTAAGAGAATGAAAAGGCAAGATGCAAAGTGGAAGAAGATATTTGACATATTTAAATCATACAAATAACTCATATCTAGACTATGTAAATACTTCTTGTAAATCTATAAAAAAGACAGGCTCGATATTTTTCTAAACGGGGAAAAAACTTGAACAGCTTTTTACAAGAGATATCCAAATGGCCAATGAACATGAATAGGTACTCAACATTACTAGTTATCCAGAAAATGCAAACTGAAAACAAAATAGGATATCTCTACACATACCCCAGAATGGCTAAAATTAAAAAGATTGACAATACCAAGTATTGATGAGGATATACAGCAAGAGAAACTCATAGGATGCTTTGAGGGTATAAATTGGTAAAAACTACTTTGGAAATTTTGTTGCCAGTAAAGCTGAACATATGTGCACCATATGATTCAGTCATTCAATCTGCAGGTATAAACTTAACTGAAATGCATACCTGTGTGCACAAAACAATAGTTATGAGAATGAGAATATTCCTAGCACATTATTCTCCATAGCACCAAACTAGAAGCAATCCAAATGCCCATGTATTAGTCCATTCTCACACTGTTACAAAGACATACCTGGGACTGGGTAGTTTATAAAGAAAAGAGTTTTAATC